ATATATATATATAAGTACAATCTTAAAAGACTCAAGCAAGACAGGAGAATAAAATAAAAACTTAAATCTCCCTATCTCTCATCTCTTCCTTTAAATCGTTAACAGTGTGGGGCATGTCCTTTTAAATACCCTTGCATATTTATATAAACAGTGACTGCTCACTTGGTTTCTGTAAATTCAGATCATCCATACAGTTCTACTTGCTGCCTTTTCAACCTATCAAAGTGTCTTGGAGATCTGTGTCGGCAGAGGTATCCCAGAGGCTGGTGAACTGTGGTCTGGGGGCTGAATTCAGCCCATATCCATTTTGTGAATAGAGTCTCACAGGTCTCGTCCTGGGCTGCTGCCGTGCTCCAGGAGCTGAGTCAAGCAGCCACAACAAAGCCCTGCAGAGCCCGGCACACCTTCTGCCAGCTCCTCCACAGAAAGAGTTGGCTGACCCTCGGTCTGCTCTTTTTAGTATCAGCTCCAAATTCCGTCTAATGAATATACAATATTTTACTGATGGTTATTTAGTTCCTTTAAATTCTTCCACATTACAAATAATGCTGCACTGAGTAGGTACCAAGGTTTATACTTTGAGAACTCTTCTCAAAAGCTGCTGTGTAAGCAGCTCGAGAAACGTGCCTCTCGTTATTCCAACCACTGAAAAGAAAGGACAATTATGTAATGTGACGGAGGTGCTAAATAAGGCTACCACGGCAAATATATTACAATATTTGAACACATCAAATTAATGTGTTTGCACACCTCACATTTATACAATGTTATATGTCAAACATATTCAATTGGAAAAAAAAGGTGCCTGGTACATACTGCTGCTCAATATTTTTTTTTTTAAAGATTTTTTTTATTTTTTTGACAGAGAGAGACACAGCGAGAGAGGGAACACAAGCAGGGGGAGTGGGAGAGGGAGAAGCAGGCTTCCTGCGGAGCAGGGAGCCCGATGCGGGGCTCGATCCCAGGACCCTGGGATCATGACCCGAGCTGAAGGCAGTCGCTTAACCAACTGAGCCACCCAGGCGCCCCTCAATAAATATTTCTTGACCAATGGCTTCTGAATGAATCACAATACCAAACACAGTGCTTTGCAGAGGTAACTGGTCTTTGTTGAAGAACTTCATTTAAGATAAGGAACTCAAGTGCATAATTACTGACAGTTAAATGTAAAAAATAAAGTCAGTCTGCAGTCTTAAGAGTTCCTAGAACATTCACCCAGCTCTCCCTTTCCTAAAGCCGGTGACAGAGTGGAAGTCATTTTCCTCCTTCGTAAACAAACAGACATCACAACAGTCCAGTGATGGTGCAGAACACTGACGTGTCTGAAAAATCTCCATGAAGATCCTTCCAGGGCTATTTTTATTCCTGAAATTTTATTCAGTTATTTTTCAAATCCACCCCCTGGATTAGCTGTTCTGTTCTTTCATTAGAAATTCTATGTATTTTAACCTCTTAATAATCCTCAACATCTTCCCCTGTCTATGCATTTGCTAACTTCCTCATGGTGGTTGACTTCCCTATGTGGTGTCTGTGTATTTTTTTTTTTTTTTTTAATTTATTTGAGAGAGAGAGTGTGCGCCAGAGTGTGGGGAGGGGTAAAGGGGGAGGGAGAGAGAGAATCCCAAGCAGGCTCTGCACCCAGCACAGAGCCTGACATGGGGCTCAATCCCACGACCCTGAGATCATGACCTGAGCTGAAATCAAGAGTCAGATGCTCAAATGACTGAGTCACCCAGGCATCCATGTAGTTTTAATTGTAAGCTCAGTTTCAGCTTTATAGGACCTTCTTTCCTCCCGTGGGAACCTCCAGCTAGCCTGTTTTGTCAATGTGACCCTGTGATGCAGGTCTGTATTTGTTTCAGCTGAGGTTCCTTAGTGTTTTATCATTCTCAGATTGGGATTTCATTCAACTGCTTGTGAAAATTTCTTAGTTTGGGGTATGGATGGTGTGAATTTGGACCCCAGGTTCATATATGATGCAGAATTCTCAGAGTCCTGGGAGAAGGCACATTTCCTTGCTGCTTCTGAAAGGCCAGTGGGTGGAGTTTTTCTAGGTCCTTCAGTATGGATGTTGCAGTCTCTAAAGCTCTCGGTTTTATCCGGGGTCTCAGGTCCAGCTCCCACTATGTGCCTTGGAGCCACATATCCTGTTTCCTACTAAGGGGGAGGCTCTTTAGTGCTCTGATTCTGAGTTCCTTCAGGGATTTTCCTTTCTGTAGGCTCAGTTATGTGTTCATTTTGTTTTTTTAATATATTGCATTGAATATTTTTGTTTTATAGCAGAAAGTAGGTATTCAGTCTGCTTCACTGAAATTCTTTGAATATCAATTTCATACTGTCCCATCAAGAAATATGAGGTCTTTCTGTTTTTCTCTGAGCCCAGTGCTCCTCAAATGGAGAACAGGCACTTTGCAGGAGGGATACACAAAATGATTCTTTGGGATATGGGAGGAAGATTTTACAACTTTCATTTACACTGACTTTAAAGAGAAACAGAGTTAAACTGTAGACGATATATCGGTGCCTCACTCGGCCCTTTATGTTGGGCAGCTTCACTTTATACATGCTAGAGGTTTCTAGAGGTAAGGGCACTCGAAATAGGAGAGGACAGTGGTGCCTGTCCTCATTCACTTACTTTCAGCATGCTGTGATGAGTGGAAATTTATAGGTGCTCAATGAAGTGAGCTTATAGATTCTATTTAGTTTCAACTAAAATAAAATGAAAAAGTAGCTTACACAAATTCCTGCAAAGAAACCACTGACCTAAGACAATATATTAAGACTAATAAACCAGCAAACAAGAAAATGGCAAATCTGACTTCTCCTATTCCTATAATGAGCTTTCTTTTCTTTCTTTCCTTCCTCTCCTCTCTTCTCCTTCCGTTCTCCCCACCTCCGTCTTTACTGGGGGGTGGGGAGGGAATCTTTAGCAGGCTCCATGCCCAGAACGGAGCCCAACGCGGGGCTCGATCTCACAACCCTGAGGTTGTGACCTGAGCTGAAATCAAGAGTCAGACGCTTAACTGAATGAGCCCCCCAGAATGAGCTCTTTCTAAGTGCAGGGCAGGACAAGCATGTAATTCTTGCATTAAATATATATACCCCTTGTGAGTAGGTTAAGAACGTACTAATGATACATGAACATACTAAAAAGTGCTTGGTGACTACGGCCCTGGGCAACCACATTATTCCAGTACCAAGGAGCTGTGTCAAGTGGCTAAGAAACTAACCAGAGGACATTTAGTTAGTGTCCCAGGGAAGAGCCTCATAGAACCTGGGCCCCCAAATAAACATGCAGGAGGTAGCAGACAGTGGCGGCCTCTTGTTTTCTAGAGGTCACACAGAACTTACCACTTACTTTCCTGGTGAGGCTACGTGCAGGAAGGAGGACATAAGTGTGTGTGATATGCAAAAAGATCTTGATGAGAGCTCTTCCCACGAGGTGGGGTTTGTTTTGTTTTGTTTTAAATAGGACAGTACAACAAACAGGGCTGCAGACAACATTTGGGATATAATATACCCACAAAAGTCATCTTAAAAGAATGTGAGGATAAAGCCAGTCATTCAGAAAGTCACGACAGCTGCCACAGCGACAAGTCGGGCTGCAGGAGAGCTTCACTCCACTCTTCTCTTCAAGAAAGCAAGTGGGTGGAAATCATTTTTGCAGTAGCTTTGAATCTGCTCAAACAAGTTTTTAAAAACTTCAAATTCCAGTAAGTTAATTATTTTTGGTAACAAATCACTTGGGATACTCCACATAATGACTGAAAACAAGACAATGTCATGACGTCCTGATCATCTGAATCAGTCACTGTTTTGTCTGACGTGGTTATAGGTATAACACGGTGCTAATCACCTCACCCTCCTGGGTGGCTGGGCTGGGCTGGGGTGGCTGGATCTCCAGCCTGGTCCCTCTGGCCACGAACAGCCTCACTGATTTACCTCGGTGTGCATGCAAATATCACTACTTTCTATACATCCAACGACAGGTGTTTCTGAGACACAGTGCCTTAGAGCAGGGTCTGTGGGCCAGATCCAGCCCGTAGCCTATTTTTGTATGGCCCATACACTACCAATGGTTTTTACCTTTTTAAACGGTTGGGAAAAAGAAAAAAAAGACCAATATTTTATGACACATGAAAATCACATGAAATTCCAGTTTCCCTAGCGATGCTCACTGGTCTATGTGTCACGTAGGCTGCTTTTGCACAAGGGCAGAATTCAGTAGCTGTGCAGGGACCATCCAGCCCACGGAGTCTAAGATATCTGCTAGTGGTCCTTGACAAAAAAAGCTAGCCATCCTCTGCCCAGTATCTTATCAAAACCAGGACCCCGGCTCAGTTCACAGACTTGGCTTTAAGGTGGTTTGAAGCAGGTCAGCTACAGGTCAATATGGGACATCTCTGCACGTGCAAGAACCTTCTCTTGGCAGTCACCATGACCGGATGTTGGTAAACGGCTGAAGCATCCACCAAGGTACCAGAATAAAAAACGAGCACATATAGGACCTGATGAGGGACTGCTGCGTAGCTTTAGAGTTTGAGGAAGGGAGGCTGTTTCGATGCTGACACAGACTTCTGGGACAGGCAGGGGCTTGGGGATGACAGAACAGAATATAAGAAATCGGGGCTCTCTGTAAAAACATACCGGCTGTATGTTCTACATCTGGAATCGACGACACACAGGATGTTTAAAACAGACATAACGGGCCAACCTCCACACACACCAGAAAGAGACATGGGTGGATGGATGGGAAACCTGGAAGGAGCTTTCTGGAGCCAAGAGGGCTGTGCCTCACAGGAAGAGGCCGGTCGCTTACCTGCACACGTGTAGGCGTCCTTGCTGGTGAAGGGCTTCACGCACTGGCTACAGCTGATCGGACCCACAACAGGGATGGAACTGAAAGTGTGCCCGTTGACGATCTTCTTGTCCTTCTCCTTCTCCTTCGAATCTTTCTCCTTCTCTTTGATTTTCTCTTTCTCTTTTTCCTTTTCCTGCCAAAGAAAAGCACCAACAGTTAATTGAAACCAGAAGGCCCTCCCCTTACCTGGGCATCCAGGTGGCATGGGGTCATCAGTGCGTGGCGGTGAGTGTTTTGGATGCAAGTTAGGAGCACTGTCCTGGACAACAGTTTTTCTAAGTTGTGAGCATTCCAGCTACACTGGAAATGCTACGGGAAGACCAGGCAGGCGAAGCAGTCCTGTTGGCTGCTTGCTCAGCGGCATTCACACCGATGGATACAACGTCCCAGGACCAACCCCGGGAAGAGGCTTCTGGATCGGGAGGAGGGGACTCTGGGGTGGCCTATGAACCCTCCTCAGTAAGCCCAAGCTTGGCCCACAGAGGAAGCAAGCAACGAGCTGAGGGCCAGCTGCAGGTAGGGAGCAGAAAAGACGGCAGCCATTCTCAGATCCGCCCTGGGGAGAGGGAAGACGATGGGATGGCAGGAAGCATTCCTCAGGGTTCCTCTCGGACTCCCTCTAGCCGGAAGTATTAACTGTCCCCCACATACACACATACCATTGTTGTCATCTAAAAAAAATTCCTGCAACATGGGCACCCCAAAGTTTGTGATCATGACAACTACTAAATGCCTTACACGTGGAATCAACACCTTCTACGTACGTGACTGCACCTGACTCCATTAATTCTGAAGCGGGAAGGGTAGGCATCACGCTTCCCGTTGTACAACTGAGAAGATAAAGATGATAAATACCAGCTCCAACTCTCAACAGCTGCTATGTGCCAAGCACGACAGCAGGCGACTTAGGCGTATTTTCTCCTAACAACCCAGTGAAGTACTAGTTATGATCTTCACAGCACGTTTGAGGAGACTCAGGGATGTTGAAGAGTGAATCTGAGGCCACATGCCAGTAACTGCCCAGGCTGGAAGATCCAGATTGGCTGACTCCACAGCTGTGCGCTCATTCACGACACTCTGTCACCAGCAGCTGGAGACGTGTACTGACTCACAAAGGGTCACTCGGCAAGTGACTGGCAGTCAATATCACAACCCCGGTCTCCCGACATCCTAATTCAGAGCCCATCGGCTATACTGAACGGGCGAGTGCTGGCCAAGTCTGATTCATGTACAGCCCTTGGTTAACAGAACACGTATAATAAAAATCCAAGAACTGAACTGCTACACTTTAGAACTGTAAAAACTAAGGAGAGAGGGAAAAAAACAAAGTATTTCACTTTACAAACAGGAAACTGTTGTGACAATCAGTAACCGCTACAGAACGTAATCTTCTAATAACCATCAATAACAAGTGGAATTTTTTCAAGTAATTTCTCTCTTAACTAAATCTTGCTGCAGGCTTTTCTGTGCACAAACGTTAAACCGAAAAGCATCTGCCTCTGCTTACGAAAGCTAAAGCGTGCTCCAAGAGCTGAAAAAAAATCTTCTATGGCAACTAACATTCTCTCAAGCCTCGCAATGCTCATCAAATCCAATTAAATAATAAATAATACCCTCGTCCTTTGCAATTAGCCCAACTAGTCCTTCCAAGGATAAACGCAAAACAAACTCTGTTTATTAGAATTTAGTGCTCTAAAGAAGTCAGACTCTTACCTCCCCGTGTCCTATGGATTTCACTGTCATGAGGGGTACTTCAGGAAACCGACCCCATTTTACCGACATGATTCGACCCCCATGCCAGGAAATGTGCTCTCACAGGAGGAGGGGCTCATGCCCGCAGGGCAGAGCTCAGCAGCTTCGAGTTGCCATCAGAGAGACCATAAGAGGAAGCCAGGGACTGGTTGAGAAAGGGAAGGAGGGAGGGCTGAGGCTGCTGGTTTCCTTAAGACAGGCTTAACCATTTGCATGCTGCCGGCAAAGCCAACTACCCTAGTTACAAAGGACGCGGGAAATGAAACAAAACCAATTCCCCAAAATATAGTGTGTGTGGATGGTGCTTCGGTTGCAAGATGGACACTCTGGAAGGACAAAGGCCAATTTTTTGACACCTGGAAGTTAAGGAACACATCTACTTAAGACTCCTCATTATGTCGAATCATAATGTATATTTCCTAAGAACAGTGTTTGGTGAAGTTTGTGGTCAAGTGATGACCAGTTGTTTTCTCAAGTGTGACTTTTCCATGTTCAACAACATGGGGAAGTTGGAGCTCCCGGTATTTCCGGGATGGCTGCAGGAAATAACTACACCAGGGTACAAAGAAGGAACACAAGTTCTTGCTTTCCCCCACCTATTGTTTTAGACAAGCAATTATAACGAGGAGAGCAGAGAGCACTCCAGACAGCTGTAAAACAAGCTGTCGTGAAGCCCCCGTCCCGCTGCACATCTCTGATCGGAGAAGGAACCACACAGAGAACCGGATTTCACACAGACTTCAGCCTTTGCAAACACACTCCAGCGGGCACCTCCGTAAGGCTCACAGGGATAGTCCTTTTATGGGGGCACAGGCCCAGGGAGGCAGAGCCTAACGGCAGCAGCTCTGCAGGAATGCAGCCCTTGCCCCCCAAACACCCATTTCAAGCCAGAGTAAGAATTTCCGTAGAACATTTCTGACCGTCTCCTAGTTGTCTGTGAGGGGGGAAGCTCCAAGAAGAACACCAGTGTGACAGGATGGTCTAAAGGGGCTCACTCCACTCCCTTTGTGAATGGGACCACCATGCACAGTAGTGTTTCAATACTCTGCAGCAAGCAAACATACTTAGCAGGAAATGGTACTATCAGAAGATACTAAAAAGACAAAAGCAGAACCTGCCAGTCTTCCTGTTATACTTCCTGTTTAGGCTCGCCCCCTTTGAAAAAAACAATGCATACATTTAATTACTCATGCCAGATACTGCTAATTTTTATTTTTTTAATTTTTATTTATTTATTTTAAAGATTTTGTTTTTTGACAGAGCGAGACACAGTGAGAGAGGGAACACAAGCAAGGGG